CCCCCCCCCCCCCCCTCTAAGGCGTGGGCACAATGTCTAAACCGACTAACATACACAGCCCCCCAAAATGTGACGGGCAATTAAAGATGCTCAAAGTTCTTTAAAACCTGATACAATAATAGTATCATCTGATCATCAGAAAACATCGAGGGAATAACAAATCATTAGACGTTGGCTCGATACAAAATAATCTTCCATAAGATTTTATTTGGATTCATCTTTTTACTACCATTTGTTCTGCTTATGACTCACAATGATTCAGGTCTGGGTTAGCACTACTTCTATAAATATTTCATCCTCACTAGCTGAGTCAAAAGATAGTGCAAAAATTTCATTATTTTTGAAGCGTATTGAAATTTTAAAATTTGGTGTTTGTAAAATTATAAAGAAATGAGAGATGAAATAATTTGGAAGGAAATGAATTTGATATTAGAAAATATTAGATAGTCGTAAAAAGAAAAAAGGGAAAGTTGAAATTTTAATTTAAAACTATTATTTTGTTTATTTTTGAGTGGTCAACCTAATAAAAGTTTAAATGTCAGATGGATCCAGCGTGGACGTGGCCACAAGGCCGCTCCCGCGAGGAAGTCGCGACAAAGAGGGTGTTCATGGTGGTCATAGTCCAGAGTTCAGCTTGAGAGAGAATGTTAGACAATAATAATAATAATAATAATAATAATAATAATAATAATAATAATAATAATAATAATAATAATAATAATAATAATTTGTGGTAGATATTGTATTTTAGTTAGTTTCCATTCTTTATTTCTAGTTGTGCATGTTAAGAGTATGTCTTATGTATAGAACCTGTTTGGGAATAGCGTCAGTGTTTTAAAAAGACCATCTACGAACAGCGTTTAGCGTAAGCCTTTTCAAAGTAATCTGCACCGTTAAAAGTTTATCCAAAATGCTAACGCTAATATCTAACGTTATTTCCTAACTGGCACATACTATATCATGTATTCCATAATTTAATAGGCATTATTATTATTATTATTCTAATATTTCAACAAATTTAAGCTAAATGGAAGCTTCTCCACGATTTAAAAAAAAGTCGAGAACACATAACAAGGACGACCTTAAGACCTATGCCAGCCGATTAGAGAAAATGCTCTTCCGGAGCTCCTCGCGAAGCCCTTCTTCAACCTCCGGCGAGGAAGTAAAACGGGGTATCAAGTAAAGCCATATGGAAGTACAAACAATGGCCAATACCTTCCCCCAAAATATCAACGCCATTAGTGAAAGAATCACAAAACAAATTATACGTAAATTGCAATAACGCGTCGTCGGCATGTGCATCGGAACAATGGGTTCCTTCATCACCGTAGCCACCGCCGCCGAAGGCCTTGGTGGTTTCAGGGCCGGAAGTGCGGCCTTGGCCACACTTGTGGTCGGTGCCATCTCCTCATTCACCTCCGATATCTTTCTCTCGGATGCTGACCAAGACGATGCGTGGGAAGAGGACAACGTTGTTGTTGTGGTAAAGGACAAGGACGAATGTAACATGGAAGAGTCCCACATATCGCTTGAACGGCTCCCCAGATTTTCGCCTGTGCCCCAACATTGTTTTGAATCGTCTAATGGCAAATTCTTCATCGTCTCTTTTTGTGATAAATCCACATCTTTTGATTCTTCTATGGGTATAGACGGACCTTTTCTTCGAAATTTCCTCGACTGCCCAAAAAAACACAAAAAAAAAACGCATGTAAATTCTCATAGGTGAAAACGTAAAACAAATTTAGAGATATTCATGTTTTGAATTACTACGGAGGAGCAAGCATTCAATATGACATAAATAAAGAAAAGAACGGAAAGTAAAACAACGTAAAATTTTAATATACCAGCGACGTTTCGAAAAGGGCGGCTTTGATCGTGCGAGAAAAACTTCTACGAGATTTCTCTATTGGCATGTCATTATTGGCGAAGTCAAAGGCGGCGTCGCCGTCAATGGACGATTTACATTTTCCGCCATCCTCCGTCGTCTCCTTACGGGCAAGACTGGACCGTTTAGATTTACGACCGCCGCCGTGTACACCTGATGGTTCCAGACACTTGAAAAACTTTCTTTTCCCTCTGCCCTTCATTGCAAAACCACCTCGTCCCCCCCTAAATGTGCAATGGTAAAGGAAAGTTAGCACACAAAATAGGTCAAAAAAGAAAAGAAAAGAAAAATATATATAATATTAGGATCATATATAGAACTTGTGAAAATGAAAGAGCAAATGACGATGTTGGATGATAGGGAAGAGAGGTCGGGGAGAGTGGGAATATGAAGAAACGGAGAGAGAGGGACGTGACAGTAGGTATGTTGTAAGGGGGTGATTTATGTGGGTGTGTATTTAAATGTTGGGAAGAGGGGTCTATTGGCATTTCGATAACCACTACCTGTCGTGACGCGGGAGGCTCTCAATCAATTTCTTCCTTCATTTTAGACTTAGCTTACAAAATTAAGAAATCTCTCTAAAATAGCAAAAATTGAGTTTTAAGTATTTAAATATTCTATAATTTTTAATTTTTGAAACTTTTTTTTACAATCGAGCACGAATTCATGAGATTGCATACAAAGTTAGGTATACTCGGTAAATATTCATTTTAAATTAAGATAATGTTTATTTTGAATCAACGAGATTTTCATTTTGAATCAACAAAATATTCATTTTCAACCGTAGTGTTTATTCTGAAGTCTGCTCAACACCGTGTCCATTTTAGAACAAGGTAGTATTCATTTTGAAACATGTTCATTCTGAAACAAAAAAATACTTATT